ATATATATATATATATATATATAACTTTTTATTCTCAAAATTTTTTTACGTTAGTTTACAATATGAATATAGAAACAAACTAAATATCTTAAGCTGGTCCAACTTCTTGATATTATGGGATTACAGTTGAAAATATCGATAACTTTTGCTTGTTTTTGTTGCTAAGTACAAAGCCACATAATAGGCTATCTGTATTAGCCCACCACGGGTATCGAAACCCGGTTTTTTAACGTTAAAAGCCTTCAGACTTATCGCCGAGCTACTGGAGAGCAACACTGATAACAGTGAGGGTACCAAGTTGATAATCTATGTATTTTAATCATTATAAGTTTCTATTATGGTATTATGAACTCCTGGAGTGGTATATTAAGTTAGTTATTGGATTGATTTTTATTTCTGATCTATATAGTAGCTTGCTTTGATCAATATTTAGTGACAAGGTATTCTATGAAAAAGAAAATCCATCAAGCACATTTTACTGAATGACATGAAAAAATTACACATCTAATAATCCTTGCTCTTGTGAATCACACGGTTAAAGAAGTTACCCTGATATATCATCTGCTTTCCACAAGTCAATGCTCAATAAGCTTTTAGTTTTAACAGCAAATAGAGCAAATGTTCATTAAAACGAATGCTATGACAATTTTTCATTACAAAGAAAAAAAGAAGCTTGTTTAGGATTTTTACTTATTAATTTATAACAGCCCAAGTGTTATATATTATATTAATATTACACATTATACACAATATTAGCCTGAAACAAACGTGTATGTAATATTCTGTTGTGGGCTATGTTTGTAATATTCTAATTTGCATATTTTGCATTGATTGCTGGGGGAGTTTGAGTATCACAATGTGTGACATCTAGTAGTTCCTAAGCATCTTTATCTGGCATGGTGTCTCAAATTTTCAGGAGGTTTGGAGAAAATATTGAAGTATAAAAACATGAATGAGTTAATGAGTAACAAGTAAGACAGTGAGTTGATTAATTAGTTAATGAATCTGTTATACTGTTGTCAATCCCTAACAGAGTGAGTACTGTACATTTTCTAAATCTGTGCTAATGATACCCATCTTGGGTATCAAAACCTGACTAGTAGCATTATAAGCTTTCAGACTTACCACTGAGCCACAAGGAGGCAGGAAATAGGCAGAAAATTGGAAGAAAGTTACAGGAAACTAAGATAAGATCAAGAAGAAAATTAAACTTATATCAAAAAGAAATTTACAAAAATTAAAAGAAAAAAAAAGACAGGAATTTAAGGGAGTAGTTCAAAAAAAATAAGTGAAAGATCTAAAGAAAAATTAAGAACAACAGTAAATTTAATTGAATACAAGATCAAAGAAGCTGTTGGAAAATTGCAAAAAGATTATAACAGCAAAACTGAGATAATACAAAAAAAAAAAGAAAGACATCCATGAAATGCAGAATGTATTGACATAACTGTCAGAAAAATATCAACAGAGTAGAAAAAAACAAGGGCAGTGGTAAAGGAGCAGAGCTTACTGGCATTGAAGCTACCCCAAAATCTGCCTTGGCCCCCACACCCCTTGAGGGCACATAGATACAACACAAATTTAAGTGCTTACTTTTGAAGCTGCTTCAACTCTTAAATACTGCAGTATGTGTAATCCACACCACCAAGCTGCTGCTTTTAACCACTCAGATTTCAATAATGGCATTTTTTTTTATTCATTGTCCATACAAATATCATAAAAAAGGTATAAGAAAATGATAATATGGCACCAGGTATGAAACGTGCAGTCCCATGTTTATCATGACCAATGTCTGATAATATCACTTTATTAAAAGTTTCCATTCTATTTATAGACTTTCAGAAGGGGGTCATGAAAAAACTTAGGCTTTAAAGCTCATGAAAATAGCAAAAGTCGTCAATGACCCTTTAGGGATTTTGTTTTCGAAGGTGCGAGACGTCAGTTGCTCTTGCAATTTTAGATCTTTTTGCATAATTAGCAGCAATGAAGTTTTCAATCTAGGTAGCCCCTTATGCATACACGAGCTAACTAGCCAGGCCATTCATCAACTCTCTAGAATTCAGATACAGCTGTCTCCAATTTTGAACTAAGGATCTAAAGGAAAAAGCTAACAATACCCTCTGCAACAAGGGTTTTGTCCAGCTCTTTGGACCAAAAAATGAGATTGTCACTTTTATAACATGCCCACAACTGAAAATGTGTTTAGAAGCATTATGTCTTAAACTCCCAACCTCTCGATATGCAGCTCGACACATTAACTTACACACATTCTTAGCAGTAGTGAAATAAAATCATGTTTTAATACCAGTTTTCTGTAACTTGTTTTCTCGTTGAAATGTACATTTCTCAGTAAACCTGTTATTGAGTTCATTAAAAATATTCCCAACAATATCAGTGGAAATTATGAATACTTGTATTCAGTAAACGTGTAATCAGTGGTAAGTAAAATTGTAACGTTCCATGTTTCAGAATGAAAGAAAACAAGTCATCTGATCACCGCAATAGTAAAAATTTGAAGAAGGGCAAGTGTAGTGATGTGTCATGTGTTAAATAAAAGAGCAACAAGACCCAGTGTAAAGTATAAACTTATGCTTAATTTATCCAGTTCAAAACTAGAACTCTAACAAAAATTCATGTTTTGTTACTAAGTTATATACATAAACTTTTAACAGAATTAGAGGTGTGATATCTTTACCAAAAATCTAACAGATGCTGAGATAAAGAAAACTACCTATTTGGCCCTAGCTTATAAGCTTTACCTTTCATAAAAATAACCTTTTCCTACAATTAGATAATAATTCAAATACAAATCGTTTTGATTACTTTCAAATCAATACCTAACAAAGAATTCGTAACATACCAAAATGAATCAATATGGGATTGCTGAAAGGTCTATTGATGGGAAAATTACTTTTCTCTCAGGAGTACAGTTTTATTATTTGTTATTGTTTTACTGATAGGTATTTCAGTTACACTTTGTTACCATTGTAAAAGTCAAAGTTCAGATGAGAGTTGTTAAACTTGATATACATTTCTTGGTATTAGTTGTCTTATTCAAGAAGAAAAAAAAACCATTAAAAAGACATTGTTAAAGTGTAAAATGAAGCTTTAATTACCACTAACTTGATAATTTCATACATTATAGCTTGTGGTTTCTTGAGGTCAAATTGTATTGAGGTTTAACAGTATAAATTTCATTATACTTTCTCATTTTTGATTATCATGCCCTTCATTTAAAAATATATGGTAAGTCCAAACAGATCATGGCAGTTTTTCAGTAGTTGTATCAAATCAAGTTCGTTAGTTCTTCTGCTCATTAACAGACAATAACTTTTTTTTTAACATTAGCATCTATAAAAGTTTACATATCAAAAAAAGGTTTCTACGATAACTGAGTCTCTCAAAAGTTACTAGATATTTATTTACTTAAATATGCTTTCACATCTAATTCAAGGAAAGTTCTATAGTACCTAATTACATAATTTTATTGGTGTTTTTATTTGGGCTTATTTTTTTTGTTTGTTTTAAAGCTATATATAAAGCAGGTTATACAACTTTGGAGCTGCTGTGGATTTTCTCAAGTTTGTACAAAAAAATCATGTAAATATTGGAGATTAAATTTTTGTAGTATTTTTTTTATTGTTTTTACTAGCAATTATAAGGAGAATGCAGCCT